CTTCTCGTTGTGCAGCGTTTTCTGCCACACTTTTCCCTTCCCACAGACTTCCCACTGAGGTGCCTTGATACAGCACTCTGGGAACAGCCTATTCGTTCAGCAATTTCTTTCTGTGTCTTATCCTCTTGCTTGAGGGTGTCAATGATGGCCTTCTGGACAGCAGTCAGGTCGGCAGTCTTACCCATGATTGCAGTTTTGAGTAATGAACAAGGCTGGGAGTTTTTAAAAGCCTCAGGAATCTTTTGCAGGTGTTTAGAGTTACATCGTTGATTCAGATGGTTAGGTTAATAGCTTGTTTAGAGAACCTTTTCATGATATGCTAATTTTTTGGGACAGGCATTTTGGGTTTTCATGAGCTGTATGCCATAATCATCAGTATTAAAACAATTAAAGACCTGAAATATTTCAGTTGGTGTGCAATGAATCTGAAATATATGAAAGTTTCATTTTTATCATTACATTATGGAAAATAATGACCTTTATCACAATATGCTAATTTTTTTAGAAGGACCTGTATAGTACCCTGTAAGTAACCTGTTAATCACTATTTTACAATCTCCTGTGAAGCCATGTCAGGTCTCTGGCCCAATAAGCTTTCAAACAAAAAAGATTATGATTATATCAGTATATTTTATGTTTTATCCCAGAATTCGGGACATCTTTATAGTGGAAGTATTCATTTCTTTTGATTTGTAAACATGCATGGAAGATTCTGAAATCCATCCATCCATCCATTATCTTTACCCGCTTATTCCATTTTGGGTCACGGGGATCGCCGGTACCCATGTCCAGCAATCACTGTGCGAGGGGCGGGGTACACCCTGGACGGGTCGCAAGTCCATCACAGGGACACATAGAGACAAACGAGACAAACAATCATTCACTCTCTCACTCACACCTAGGAACAATTTAGAGTTACCAATCAGCCTAACATGCATGTTTTTGGTCTGTGGGAGGAAACCGGAGTACCCGGAAAAAACCCACACATGCACGGAGAGAACATGCAAACTCCACCCAGAAAGGCCCCTGGACCAGGGTTTGAACCAAGGACCTGTTCGCTGAGAGGCAGCAGCTCTACCAGTTGTGCCACCGTGCTGCAGATTCTGAAATGTGATCAATAATTTTTTTACTTAAGACTCTTCAGGTTTATATTAGGGCTCCAGTAAAATGCATCTGGACATGCCGCTGAATGTGTATAATACTTATGACCATTGTTCTATAAAACTGATGCAGACTATTTGAAGTAGAAAAAGGATGACACGCTGACAATGTGGAAACAATTAAGAGAAAGTTCGCCCTCTGCTGGAGTAGACCAACATTGTGTTGCTCTCGAGCCAACTTATGCTTTTTCTCCATCCATCCATCCATCCATCCATCCATCCATCATCCATCCATCATCCATCCATCATCCATCCCATATCTTTACCTCAAAATACAGATGTACAAAACTGATCACTCTGAAAAGCAAATGTTTCTCTCCATCTATTTCACTAAAGCAGAATTTAAAGAGAAGGGGGCCAAAATAGTTATTACCAGCGAATTCTGAAAAAAAACATGTTTAATTTCCTCAAAAGCACTTTTTGTTTGGGAGATAACACAAATTTGAACAATCTTTCTTGGTAAACTGCTAAAAAAAAAAAGTAAATGTACGGTAAGCTTGGATCAGCAGCATTAGTTTCAGTGGCAAAAATATTTTAGGGAACAGTTACACTAATGAGTAAAATTTGTTATTATTTATTATTATTATTATTATTTTATTTTTATTTTTTATTATAACTTTAAGGTATGAAATCCTGATCTTTTAATTTTTTCTTTGAAAAATTTCACCTACTCATTACTTTTATTATGAGATGCTATTTCATACCTGAGACAGCATCTCATAAATATGCACCTCAAAATTACAACTTAGCAGATAGTTTCTCATAATACAACCTTTTTTTTAATAAAGTCACAAAATGGGCATCCATAGCTTACAATAACTGAAGTCCAAAGAAAATGTACAGATAAAAAAAATTCACCAAAACTAAAACAATAATTTCCACTTTTATATTTACAAAACATCTGGCTGCTTGGAAGCAAAATCTAAAGAAATGAGGGATGCCTTCAGACATTTTTCACACTACTTTAGATGAGATGAACATATGAAATGTTAAAGATAGGAAATGATAAAGAACTAAGATGTTAAAGATATGACATGCTAAATGTATGATATGATAAAAGTTTGAGATGTTAAAGATACAAGATTATAAATGTATGAGACAATAAATGTACGAGATGATAAATGTCTGAGAGTAAATTTATGTGATGATATATGTATGATATGATAAATGTACAGTATGAGAAAAATGCACAAGATTATAAATATATGAGAATAAATGTATGATATACAAACATCACATGTCATATTATGTATGGTAAACATATAAGATGATCAATATATGCAATGATAAATGTAGAATAATAAATGTATGTGATAAATTTATAAAATTATAAATGTATGAGGTAATACATGATGTATGAGATGATAAATGTATAATAATAAATGTATGAGATTATAAATGTATGATAATAAATGTATGAGGTGATAAAAGTATGAGATTATGAAATGTATGAGATTTTAAATGTATGATAAGTGTATGTAATGAGTTTATAAATGTATGAGATATGAGATGTTAAATGTATGACAATAAATGTATACGATTACCAGTATATACATATGAGATGATAAATTCAACCTTTATTTATACAATCCCATTGAGCCTCGGGGACTCATTTACAAGAGAGACTTGACTAACAAAGAGTGATGACAACACTTATTTTATTGATCATTCATTCATTAATATTGCTTTATTTCAGTCTACCTCCACCAGACAGGTGCAGTCTGACCTCAACACCTCTTTTCATCCACCTAACTTGACAGTAAATATATGAGATGTTAAATGTTAAATGTGTGATAATAAATCTATGAGATGGTAAATATATGAGATGTATATGTTAAATGTATGATAATAAATATATGACAATATAAACGTATGAGATGATGAAATGTATGAGATGGTAAATATATGAGATGTGTTAAATGTATGATAATAAATATATGATAATATAAACGTATGAGATGATGAAATGTATGAGATGGTAAATATATGAGATGTTAAATGGATATGTTAAATGCGTGATAATAAATGTATGAAATGATAAATGTATGATATGTTAATGGCATGACAAAAGTGAAGAACTGCTCAGAGTTTGACCTTTGATGTTTCGGTGCGGTGAGTCGGGATGGGGGGGGGGGGCAGAGGGCGGGAGCAGGGTGCACTCCATATAAGGGCATACCACCGACTCTGCGCTGCTATTGGCTGCGGGCCCTGTGCAGCTGCTTGTCAACAAGATGGCCTTCCTCCTCTCTCCGTTTTGACACAGATTATTTTGGTATCCCCGAGAACAGAATGTGAAAGCTCGCGTCACTTCTGAACAGCTAGTGGGAGAGCGACTGTATGGAGTCCCAACAAGACGTACAGAGAGCCGGGCTGAGCTGAGTGAACTGACAGGCTCACGATCGACCGTAGAACAAGGCTGATGTCAGAAAGTAGCCGCAGGCCCGCAGCTAGTAGCGAGCCACCCGAGCTACGTGGACTCGGACAGTCAACAACTGCATTTCACCAGACAACACTGGTCGGGTTGGAAAGAAATACAGCGAATAAACACTTGGCATCGACTGTCCGCAGATCGACGGGCTTGTCGGAGAAGAACGACGCCTTTAAGGTATATTTACTGAACTCGAAGCTGCTTTTCTTGGTTGTTTTGCAGGTGAATTGTGCTGTCGGGTTAGCCCGCTCGTTAGCTCAAACAATAACCTGTTCGCTCAACAATTAACGACACGAAGGCCATAAAGTTATATAAAATGGTTGATTTAGAGGTTGGTTAATGTCAGCTAACATAAGTTAGTTGTTTGTGATTTCAGGCGCTGGACATTTACTCCGAGGCTAATGTTAGCTAACAGTTTGATTAGCTGTTTGTTGAAACATGGTTCCGACATTAAACAGAAACTCCTGTTTTTGTTCATGTTAAATGCTTTTGTTGTATCAAGAGGTTCGTGAAGGCTCAGCTTGTTTTTAGCTTGTATTTGAGTGAGTTAAAAACAGTCAGAAAAGTAAAGTACCTGTTAGGCCTTCGTTTATGACGACTCATTTGACTTTACTCCTGTTGATGGCTGGAAGGAAAACATTACATATTTTCTAAAAGTCATCCAGAATATTGTTATAAAAAAGTAGGTTTAGACATGCACATTAGGATGATGCATACTTTAATCACAGGAACACAAATACCAGATGTGTTGGTTGTGGAAACATAACTAAAAGCTGTGTTTAATGGCACAGTTTATGTTTTAATTTTATTTAACTTTTATTTATGCAGATAGTCTCGTTGTATTATCCAACCTAAGGAGGTATTAACCACACAACTACATAATTATAGGCACTTGGAATGATTTTTACTGAAAGCTTCTAAAATGTAATTAATTAGTTAGAACTATAAAAAACAAAATGACACCTGATTCGTTATAATAGGTTAATAGAACGAAGTTTACATGGTAAAGAAATATGTCACTAATGATGAGGCTTGACACAAAAGGAAAATGAATGGGACTTGAATAAAATATTATTGAAAATGAATAATTTTCAGGAGTAAAGTCACAGAAATGGACATACAACCATACACACCTCAAATGCCCCGTCATGGTGCTGGAAGGCACGTCACTCGTTTTATATTAAGATTAGAACTCGTAGAGCACGTGTTGGGCTCAAGGGCCAAGTCGGGCCCATGTTAATGTCTTAACTGGACCCCCAAGATTATATTTTAAATATAAAATATTTGTACTGCTTCTCATTTTGCTTAAAAATTGATTAAATTCTTAAATTAGTGCAGACTTCCTATGACAGCTGGCCAAGTTTGACGCCAGAAAAAAGGTTTTTCAGTCATTTTTGAATTTGCTATAGAAAGAGCAACAAAGAAAAGTCAAATAGACCGATCAAACTCTTGTTGATGTTCCTGACATGAGCTAATGTACTGACTAAAATTGGCCCAAGTTTTTAGTTTGGATCAAGTTTTTAGTACATTTATTGGCCTACTTTTGTAACCGAGTTTTACTCCCCTGACATCTAGGCATGTTACACGAGGGTCCGATTTTTAGAATCAGGGATTTCCAAGTGCCTAATTTAATAAATACAACTAAAGGAACACAGTTTTGGTGATTGTAACACAGCAGTAGTGCACAGTAGTAGTAATAGTAGTAGTTGTTGTAATACAAGTTTGCTCCCATGCAGCGTCATTTGATGTAATTTATTGAGACGATAAGTGATTGGGCCACCTTTCAGAGCTCTGTTGACACAGTGGCCTTTGTGAATGTCTGGTCAAAGCACAGTCCAGCCTGTGCTGATGTTATTGAACAAACATGCCAGAGCTCACACACAAAGACGGCGTGCAGGCCGCTCAGACGCTCATCCCCGAGTGTCCCGCACGCCTGTAATATAATGTACTTGGCTCTGTTCTTTTGTTGGCAGTTTGCAGCAAAGTTTCTGGTCTTTGGAGGCACAGAGACAAACTAAACAAAGGTTTATTTATTCAAGGCATGTATCTGTAAACTGTAGTCTTCATCTGTTCAAGAGAAACCACGGCGCTAAAAATTCAAGTGGCTTGGATTACTTTTCTATTTTAGCAGGTTAGTTTGTAACAGTGGTACTGAATGCCACAAGGATGTAACTTATGGCCTTCACTTTTGAAATAAAATTTTAGAAATGAACGCACCACGTTTAGTTAAATGTTTAATCTAATGGGAAAGCAGGGCATTAATTTCTTAATGTATGCTTCTCATCGTGAAAAGGTTACTTGAAAATAAATGTCATCTATCAGCGTTGTGGTTTGAATTTAAACAAACCATTTTTTTTCTGTTTTCCTGTGTTGTGTGTGGATTATCATGTTTTAACTACAGCAGGAATATACAGGTCTGACAGCAAGAAAACTCTTTACCATGACATGTTTCACAAGAATATATAACCATTTCCTGAGTATGATGTAGTCTGTTGTTGACAAGATGTACTTACGTAGGTTAGATAACGAACATATCTTCCCTCTGGTTCAACTAATACATCTCCTGTTTGATTTAGCGGCACGAGATCTGTGCAGAAGTTTCTGTGGAAATAGTTGCGTGTTAAGACATACAGTAAATCGTGCTTCCTCGTTGACAGTCTGCCAGTCAGGTTTGGTAATCGATGTGGTCCTAGGATCTGTAGTCACTGCAGAGTCTCTCTGCTGGGACAGGATTTGATGGATTAGGTTGCTGCAGAAAGCTTAAAACCAAATCGGAGGCTTTCTTTGCAGAAACTCAAGTAGCAAACGAAGGGGAAGAAAAACGGACGTGACTGAACACTAACTTGGCAGAGACACGGCTGCAGAGCTGCACATGGACACGTAATAACTCCACTTTGAAAACAATCAAAAGAGACTTTTCACAATAAAGTCCTAAACATTGTTCATATTAATCAAAGCGGGTTGATTTGTTGCTCGGATGAGCCTGTGTGCTGTTCGCAGTTGTTGTAAGAATCGGCGTGTTCCTTCATGTTGGGCAGTAAACGCATCGCCTTTGATTTTTACAGCTTTAAGTGTTAAAACTGTGAAGGTTGCTGGTGAAAAGGAGGTAGAGCATTTGAAGTGGTTTCAGAAGGATGGTCATCCACGGTGTAATCCGTCTGCTCTGAGCTGAGTCGTTGCTGTGCGATTATAGAGGACGCATTTACAGTTGTGCACCACACCGTGTGGGTGGTGTTTGCTTTTTGCACTTCTCGCAGCCAATCCATTAGTCCAAATGTACAATGCACCACCCTGTGCAGTGTTGCACAAAAAAGAAGGGGAAGAAGGACAAAAAACAAGTGACCTGTTTTTGAACCATGTGAGTTTAAACTCGTTTAAACGACCAAAATCGAAGTCAGACGGCTAAGGTGTCATCTTAAATACGTCAACCATTGCCTGCGTAAACTCATTGATAATCTTTGGCTTGATTGTGTAATAAGCGCTGCCTTCAAGTGAATCACTGAAGTTGTTACAAGCTGGTTTTTTTTTTTTTTGGTTTTTCTTTTTTTTTAATCTGTTCTCAGGATGGTTTTTAAAAAAAACATTTTTTATCAGAGCAATGAATCGGAGTAGAATAGACTTGTGACCATGCTCAGTCATTGGAGCTTGACTATTCTAAATAAAATAGATTAACAATTAAAATATAAGGGCATTTATTTGCTTCACAAGTGTTGTTTTCACGACATGGGACTACAAAGAACACATCGCAGCAACAAGACTTAAATATCAAGTATGCATCACTCAGAAAACCTAATGGGTATGGGAATATTTTATATTTTCTGCTCCAAGTCTTTCTATACCTGCAGTCCATTGGACACCACAGTTAGCTGTTGTGACTCATGCTCAATAATCCAGGTAGCTACATCTAACAAGGTTGAGTCAGGTCCTCTGGACGGGTTCTTCAACAAAGAAGAATCTGTCCAGACGATCTGACTCAACCTTGTTAGACAGAAATTGTTCATGAGCTTGCTGTTTTTTAATGAAAGGTCTGGAATGGAATATAAAGTTGAGACAGATACTGGATCACAGATGTTTTATGCTTCTGCGTACTGAAGTAAATGAGAGGCCAGATACCTGGAAAAACATGGGCACACCCCTGAAGTGATGACACTTTATGGGAAGTTTTTCTTTCCTCACCGAGGGCAAATGCTCCCATTCAGTGGCGTATGGTTGAAGAGGTGTTCTCTTCACGGATGAATCCCAGTTCTCACTGTTTAGGGCAGATGACAAACTGCGTGGATGGTGTTGTGTGGATGAGCGGTTTGCTGATGTCATCGTGAATCGGGTGGCCCTTGGTGGTGGTGGGGTTATGGTACGGGCAGGCATATGTTATGGACGACGAACACGGGTGAATTTTATTGAGAACATTTTGAATGAACAGAGATAACGTGATGAGATCCTGAGGTCCGTTGTTGTGCCATTCATCCACAACCATCACCTCATGTCACAGCATGATAAGACACGGCCCCATGTAGCAAGGATCTTTACACAGTCCCTGGAAGCTGAAATCATCCCAGTTCTTTCATGACCAGCATACTCACTGTCAACATATTTGGGATGCTCTGGATCAGCGTCTACGACAGCACGTTCTAGTTCCTGATAATATCCAGCAACTTTGTACAGCCATTGAAGAGGAGTGGACCAATATCCCACTGGTCCCAGCCGCCCCAATAAACAACATGATCAACTCTATGAGAAGATGTATCGCACTGAATGAGGCAAATGGTGGGCACTAGATACTGACTGGTTTTCTGGCACCCCCCCACCCCCCAAAAAAAACTGGTCAGCTTTGTGCATTTTGTGTTTTATTTGTATTCCGGCATCAATCGGTTTACAAATTAAGCCCTGTGTATATGTATATATATAAATATATGTATATGTCATTTGAGGAAACTGCTTTCTAGTCTTTGTTACTCAAACGTCTTTTATCATGGGGTGGCCAAAGATTGATGGATTGATCTGTGGTGGCTAAGACCACCATTGGCCACCCCCTGGCTCCACCGTTACTCCCAGTGATGGATAAAATTGCTCCCTCCACTCTCCAGGATCCGTCACTCTGCGGCACATCAAGCAAAAACAAAACCCCTCTAAATCAATTGATCCATCCACTATTTATAACCACAGGTAGATTTGATAATTAGTAGGGGTGCACAGATAAATCGGCCCCGATTTCCTTAATTTTGGGAAATCGGAAATCGTCCAATACTTGCATGAGAAACTGATTTCACAGATTTTTTTTTGTTTTAACAACAATTGTCTAATCTTCATTTATATTTCAGAACACTACCTCATGGCCAGTTAAAACAAGTTTGTTTTGTTTCTAGGATATTGTTCAAGGGTGTGTTTATCAATAAAATAAGGTTGTAAAATTTAAGGTGCGTTGTGACTTTATAACACCTGATGGTGTCGCTTATAAAACAAAATCTGTATCGGTCAAAATTGGAATCGGCAGGTCAGACTTTTTAGAAATCGGTGATCGGCCAGAAAACTGCAATCGGAGCACCCCCTATCTTGCACCAAAAACATTAAGCTTTACTTGCATTCCCTGTTCATTCCAGTCCAGAAAAATACTCCTCTCAAAAACTACCAGCTACTATTCAGATCCCTCAGCAATGAGGGATTTTGGTGTTCTGCTTGTTCTTGGAAACTTTGTACAACTCAGTCTGAATTATATCAACTGACGAAAGACCAGTACAATGTTCATCAAATGGACATTTCAAAATTGACATCACTGGTAAAGCAGAATTACCATCTCAAAATGTGTTTTTTATTTTTATTTCACACTAAAAATGTGTGAAAAGAGTTCAACTTGTTTTTTGTTTTTAGTGTTTTTAAAGCATTGTACTTTTTCAGTGTTACTGGTCGTCCAAAATGGAGAGAGAGTTGACAAAATTGAACTTAATTCTGTAGTTTTAATTGTTTCTGTGTTTGGTCAAGTTCACCCAGGTTTCAGTATGTCCAGTATTTTTGCTTTCTCTGTTGGAAAAGTTCAAAATGGCTGGTCCGTTGTAACAACAGCTGGTGTCTTCATCTTGGTACCTCGTCAGTAGAAACAATAGCTAGAATGCTTTACAATCACACTTATTATTAGCTGTTAATGGATCTTTATTACTTTAACATACAGCTAACCCAATGATGGTGGTGGGATCATCTTCCAATCTGAGAATCAGTGGTGCAGTGGCGCCAAAGTGTCTATAGGCAAAACAACTCCACCGCTGCATTAATATGCATATTGATGTAAGAGTGAGAATATAAGGGAGTGCTATGTAAAGGGTGTTGCTGTTATTTGCAGTGAACTAAAGGGCTAAGTTTAACGAGTCACCTGCATCTCTACAGGTTACACTTGTAGTTTTATTCTTACTCGAGTTAAAAAAAAATTAGAATACCAGGAGTGAATGCAGTTAGAGTTGTAGCAATGCCATCAAAAATACTCCACCCATTTAGCAAACCAGTCTAACCTGGAGTTTCTCTCTATCCCTGCCAGCAGTGACTCTTTGAATACTTTCATACTCTAATTAGAATAGAAAGCTAATGTCTGATACATACTTGGACACTATGACTTAAATAAAAACAGTTTGCTTTATTGTAGCTCCAAATGCTATAATATTTATTGAATGGCTTAAGTACTTTAAATAATTTACATTAAATATGTGCGAACAATATACCAAAGACCTGAATGTGTCCTCAAGGGTTGTGGTGCGTTCCCTGTAGCCGGTCTAGCTAGCTACAGAAACGAAGCATGCTGGAAGGACGAATGGTCTTCCCCATTCCCCGATCTGTAGTGTATGCACTTTAGCAGGGAGAAAGGGGTGAGGACAGCAGCAACAATTTTACTTCTAACCCACCCCTGAGCTGTTGTTGACTAAAAATAGGTCCTGCATATGCCTGTACGCTCCTCCCCATGTTGCTTCCTATTAAGTCAAGTCCTCTTTGAAAAGCTGAGATGCAGAGGGAGAGAGCGATGAGGATCCATTTGATGCTTTTGTGTTTCGTCTTTCCTCCCTTTCATCTGCTGCCCACACATCTCAAACCTGAAACATAATCCTTTTAATACGATTTGGAGGCATCAGAGCGAGGGAGCAGTCTTGTGGCGAGAGCAGCAAATGTTACAGCTAATTAAGTTTGGCCTGAGTGTGAAGCAGGCCGTTTGGTTTCTGTAACGGTGTGATGGTGTTCGTCTCCACACTCTGGTGGTCTGTGGGTTCAGAGTGCCAGCAGCTTGTGTAAAGACCTCAAGGCAGCCATTGAGTGCAGCTCCAATTGGCTATTGATTAACTGCATTAATTCCAGCACCGACAAGCTCTACAGATAAGAGCTTACTAAACTGTTATAACAATGTTTTTTGTTTTGCTGTTTCCTGTATGTTCTTCACTTCTTGTTTTAATTTTCCACAGGTTTTTATGCCCGGTGTTGATTGTCAGCCAGTCGGGTGGAGCAGGGAGCCAACAATGAGAGCACTTGGTGTTTGCTGGCCAGCTTAGATGCAGACATGCCACGGTGGTCCTCCTCCTGATGGACCGCGACACCTTCTCCCACATCCGGCTGTGGTGCCCCCGCCCCTTTGGCACCTACTCCCAGAACAAAGCTCGGAGTCCCAGCTCGGGGGGCGGCCGGGGTGGAGGTGCCAGTGGCGTAGGGTCCCCCTCGGTCTGCAAGGTCGAACTCAGTCAGGGTGCCAGGAGGGTGGCAGGAGAAAGCGAAGATGGCATGATAGTTGGGGTGCAGGAGGGCGATGGAGAGGACGAGGATGTGGGCTCAGAGAACACTCCACCTGAACCTGAGCTTGAATCCAGCTCCCTGATGCAGAGCGAGACCCCTCAACCCCCTTCAGCCCCTCCCTCACCAACCACTGCGGGGTCCCAGATGCAGGACGGACGGGTTCTGTTAGATACCTGGTACGTCATAAAGCCGGGCAACACCAAGGAGAAGATCGCCTTCTTTGTTGCGCACCAGTTCAGTGGAACCGGCCAGCTCAGACCGAGTGCCATGAAGGTGAGAAGCTGCAGGAACTCAAGTGTTTTAAGATTGTTGCTTGATCTGATCATTCTTCATTTCCCCCTACAGGTTAAAGGGAACTGGGCAACTGACTGCAGTAAAGCCAAAAGACGAAGGCGGTGCTCCTCGTACGACCCTCCAACACGTTCCCATGCTCTCAGTCACGACTGCTCTGTCTCACCTCACAGTCCTGACGAGCCACATCTCGGAGGCCTGAATGAAACGGACCTGCTTTCTGTAGCAGAGATGGTTGCCTTAGTTGAGCAGAGGACTGCCATGGCCCTTCAGGGGATTGTCGCCGTTCATGGGAACCAGCACCACCAACCCCCTTCTATCACTCACAGTCAGGGCCTTAGCTCCAGCCAGCACACTCTGCTCAGGGGCACAGTGTCAGACCCCTCCCCTGTGGTGTTTGTATCAAACAGTTCACATGGTCAGCCCTCCAAAGAAAACGAGAAGCCATCATCTCCCATCCAAGCGGACCAGGAGCTCGAAGAGCAGCATGAGTCATGCAGAGTGGCGCAGGCCATCGCGCACTTTGAGTCTCAAAACCTCGAGAACCGGCTCCATTTGGGTCCTGGTACTGGGATGCCCTCTTCTAACCAAGACAGTGAGGGCGAGCATAGGAGAGGAGACACTGTAACACCCCCCGCACCGTCCAATCATAGTCATGGTGAGGTTAGGATAGCGTTCAGAGTGTCCAATCTGGACCCGCGTTCTCAGCTGGAACCAGCCAGCAGATCCCGCTGTATGTTTATGAGCTGTGGTGGTGGGGGGAACCAGGCGGCAGCCAGGGCCAAAGAGAAAATCACTTGTGACCTGTACCAGCTCCTCAGCCCCTCGTCAAGAGACCCCAGCAGTTTGCTGCTTGCTGCTACAGCGTCTGCCCCTAAAGCAGATGGAGACCTTCATCACCAGGACAGGCCGACCTGCTGCAGCCCCGACCCGACCCAGGAGCTGTCTTCTGGGGAGAAGAAGGCTGCAGGTGTGGGGAGGGAGCCAGTGACTGGTTTCCACGTGGAGGTGGTGGTGACAGGTGCTGTAGACCAGTGTGTTTTTTATGGCAAAGACAGCACAGAGAACGTGCAGGAGGAGACTGTGTGTTTTGCCGTGGGGGGAGGGAGCGGTGGGGGTGTTGGAAGCTCAGCTGACTCTTCATCAGATGATCCCCCTCCTGGACAACTGTTTTTCCTTCAGTCTCCCAGGGGACCAGAGGAGGATGGAAAAGTAACCACTGGCAGCGGGTCAGGAATGTGCTCTTTGGACTGTGCCAACAACAACAGTCTTGGGTCGGGGGTGGCAGTGGGCTCGGGGGAGCGGGCTACACGACCAGACTCTCCCAGTGTTGTGGAGGACTGTTCAGACCCATCACTGTGTCGCCTGTACCGCCACGTGTCCCACGACTTCCTGGAGATCCGCTTTCAGATCCAGCGGCTCCTGGAGCCGCGACAGTACATGCTCCTGCTCCCCGACCACATCATGGTGAACATCTTCGGCTACCTGCCCACCCGCGCCCTGGCCGCCCTCAAGTGCACCTGTCACTACTTCAAGGCGCTGATCGAGACGTACGGCGTGCGTGCCGTGGATTCCCGCTGGAATCAAGACCCCCTCTACAAGGACGACCCCTGCAAGCAGTGCAAGCGTCAGTACGAGCGCGGGGACGTGTCTTTATGCCGCTGGCACCCCAAACCTTACCACCACGACCTGCCTTATGGACGATCCTACTGGATGTGCTGCCGGCGTACCGACAAGGACACGCCGGGCTGCCGCGTCGGTCTCCACGACAACAACTGGGTGCAGCATCCTGCCGACGGCTCTCAGCCCATTCGCTCCAAAAAAGAGGACCGGAGGGAGGAGTCCAGGTAGGGAGGGTGAACAGACTTTACAGAAACCAACTCTTCATCTCAGACTGTGTTCTTCCTCCTCACCTGTGGTCAGAGAGCAGGGGAGCAGCGAGGACTGCGAGGAGGAATCACTGCTCCAGGACTTTCTTATATTCTCCCTTGTCCGAGGGAAGTCGTGTCACACTCCTTGCCTTTTCTTTCTTCTTTCCAAGTCCTCCAGAATCCCTTTCTCCCGTGCTGTGCTCCGGAGCGGCTCTTGTCAACTGTTTGTATTCCAGGGTTGGGGTCCTCTCCTACTGCCGCCATGTTTGCTGCCTGCTAACCGTTGGCTCTCTGTCCAGTTATGCACATGGATCTTACAGCAGGCAGTGCACGTGAAGATGTTGCAGTGTGTTGATTTGAAGTTAGGGCTCTTAAAGCGATGCAGAGAAATGTAATCGTTCCTGGTCCCGACACGCGCTGTGTGCTTTAAGGAACGAGAGTCCAACACGTGTCAAACCTTTTCAGGGGTGGAATGTTGAGCAGAAATGTGATTGTATGAATCAACCTGGATTTTATTTGTATTCTGTCCCGCTCGCTGCGTTTCTGTCCCCCTGAATGTGCTGTCGTCGTACTGTTGATCAGCCCCCTCCACCCTGACGATGCTGCTGAAATCACTGCTTATCACTGATGGTTCTGAAACGGGTCAGAGGTAGGTTGGGTCTCAGACCCGTGCCCTTGTTTCAGAGTGGACCCTAACCTTGCTGAGCAGCCACGAAGAGCCGCTGAGTTTACAAAGAATTCTGGGAGATGGACTTGAACGGGATGAAAAAGAGAAACTTGACGTCACTTTGGAAAGGCCTGTTGTCACTTTGTACGGTTTGACTGATCTTAGCTTTGTGTTTGTTTTTATTTGTTTGTGTGTTGGAATGTTTGCTTTTATTCATGAGGACTGTGTCTGTCGCCCTACTGAACCCACAGGTTTGTTTTTAAATGCTCCATCTTTGTTTTAACCCCCAACTCTTTCCTTGCTTCCCTTCCATTGTCCTCCCGTTCGTTTGCCAAAGCCGTCATCTCCCCCCTCCCCCCCTCCCCCCCCCCAAGCAGAAACTCTCTACACCAGCTTCCAGCCTTAAAAGCCCTACCTCTACCCTAACCCCGCAGGAGACTGAGGCGTCACATACCTCACACATCTATTGAGAGTTGCACAGGAACCTGTTGGGGGGGGGGGGGGGCACACTCCACCCTAAACTGTTAGTGTGAGTTTGCAGTGCCTGGTGACGGCTCTAATATAACTCAAAAATCTTGAAGAAAATAAATAAATATATTTAAATATATATTCTCCTGACCCCGCCCCCCCATCGCTTGCTTTTTAAACTCCCCACCCCCTCTGCAAGCTGACAGACTGGACGTTGAACAGATGAATGATGCTGAAACTCTGCACGGAGACGGGAGGACGGTCTGTCATGGGAGAGCCCTCTGTAGGACGCAGACGTGTTCAGTGCTAATGGGAAATGTGTGCTTAAATAAAAACAGAAGTAATGATTAAAACTGGAAATTTGAATCACTTCCTGGTTTGTGTCGTGTCTGATGGGGTGGAAATCCAACATCTGTGGCTAATTTCAAACTGTTCAGTCGGAGGTCCTACTGGTTTTGAAAAGTGTGGTTTGGTTTTTATCATTTTTCCAGATCTGGAATGAAACCTCTGCTTTCCGATAAAACTGGTTGCCCTCTAATGATGACACGTGCACGCCACGTTTCGTTTCTTCTGTATCAACATGTTTTTGGAGAGAACCCTCAACCCTGAGCTGTACAGTCACTGACCAAAGTGTTGGCACCCCTGAAATGTTTCCAGAAAATGAAGTATTTCTCCCAGAAAACGTGTATTGGAAGGTTAAAGACCCAGAGGAAAATGAGTCTAAATGTATCCAGAGGACCAGACTTAACTTTTTTCTACCTGGATTATTGAGCATGCATCAGGATAGCCTAAATTTATATTTCACACAAAATTCCAAAAATGGGTCAGACGAAACCATTGGCATCTTATTTTGAAATTGTAAATGACTGTTGCAAGCATGTGACGCTCGTTTAAACTCACCTGTTTCATGTAAAGGGTGTGGGCAATGTAAAAATAAAAACACACCTGAAACCAGATTAAGGAGAGAAGTTGACTCCGTCTGCATTGTGTGTCTGTGCATGTCACACTAAGCACAAAGAACAGAAAACAGGACTGGAGAACCAGAATTATGGAAATTTACCAACAATCTCAGGTACCAGAGCTCCAGAGAGCTTGATGTTCACAAAGGATGTACAACCAAATAATAATAATGTTGTCCAGCCCATTCTTTGAGTTTAGCTTTTCTGTCAGTTTTTTTGTGTTGTTCCAAAACACAAACCGAATGTAACAAAACTCAAATACTTTCTTTCGGGGGTGCCAACACTTCGGCCATGAATGACATCTTAATCATTCAGCAGCTCTTCCTCTAACATGATAAATGCTGAAATTATAAGTTAGGGGTGTGGTGGAGCAGAGGTTAGAGATGGTGGGCCTGTGATGGGAAGGTTGCCTGTTCAACTCCCTGCACCAACATTAAAATGTGGGTGGGAAAGGTGAAGCACCCACACCTGCTTCCACCTTCATTTGCCTCACTCTGGGAACCTTGAGCTTAACTCCCCCCACCACCATCTGCTCCCATGTGGCGACCCCTAAAGAAGGGAGCAGCCGAAAGAAGAAAATTGAAATTCTAAATTAATCCGAAAAAAACATTTAAATTGTCTTTGAAAGCGTTTGAAATCCAGTTGCTCTGCAAAAGTTGACATCCAGTGTTTCAGAAGTGTGAAAAACTTTAAACCCAGTTGAGAAGCACTTAAAGCTTTACTGAGTTAAACTTGAATACAATCCGTCCTTTTTGTCTTTTCACGCCTCTGTAAGTGATGAGTGATGGAATCAGGTGGTAACTCTACACAGTAATGGCTCTTATTTGATCAAACCTGTTCATGAGTCTACACGTATGTTGTAAAGAGTGGCACACCCTAACCTCTGAGCACACCGTAGTGCACTTTGAGCCTCTAGGTGTGAATGGTTGTCTTGTTTGTCCCTATGATGGACTTGTGGCCTGTCCAGGGTGTCCAGGGACTGCTGAAGATGGACTCCAGCTCCACTCTGACCCAGAAACAAGCAGGTAAAGGAAGCGTGTGCAATGACCAAAGACTGCCGGCAGAGGGCAGCATTAACTCAAAGATGTGACCCCTTCAAGCGCTGATTTCAGTATTTTATTAGTGATTCAAACTAAAATAAACAACATTTAACAAGGTGTGTTTTCAGTAAACTGACGTCACCAGGCGAAGTATCCCCACATAAAAACTGCGACCGTCATCATGATGAGAGCGTTGGCGTCCGCCGTGTGCTTCCACACCGGGGCCTCGCTGATGTCGGGCATCTGTGGCTCCGGGGCTTCAGGTTCCTCTTGGTCACGGTCCTGAGAGTCAGCACCCAGTCCACAGAGACCCCCAACCCAGCGACAGATGCCACACTTTTCTTCTTTGGCTTCTGAAACGCAAACGGAGCCGGAGCTGTTTCTTAAATGACGCCTTGAGCTTTTCGACATTTTGTCACGTTACAACCACAAACTAAAGTATTTTACTGGGGTTTCATGTGACACCAACAGAAAATTTAGCTGAGGCTCCTACACCGTGTGAAGAAAAAGTAAAACGATACATGGTTTAAAGCATTTTTGTCCCTTGTCGTGGAGCAAATGGAATTGCAATTACTATCTATCCATCCATACTATGAGCATGACAACTTGAAAAATAGGTGTATGCACAAATGTATATATACATACTTTGAGTAAACTAGTTTTTACATTGCTTAATAGTATAGTTTCCTCAAATGATTGGGGTGGCCAAAGATTAATCTGTTGGCCAAGGCCACTGTTGGCCACCCCCTAGCTCCACCATTGTCCCTGATGGTGGATAAAACTGCTCCCTCCACTCACCAGGATCTGTCACTGTGCCTCAGACAAGAAAAAAAAGAATAACCTCCCTGTGTTTTCTCTACAGTGCAACTCCTACACACTTGAATATCTCGCACCAAAAACATCAACGTTTACCTCCATAAAAACACTCCTCTCCAAAACTACAAACGTTCGCTATTCAAACCCGTCAGCGACAGGAGACATCAGCGTACCGCTTGTTTACAGACAAAAATTTGACAAGTTGGGCGGCACGGTGGCGCAGTTGGCAGAGCTGCCACCTCTCAGCAAAAAGGTCGCCGGTTCAAATTCCGGCCAGGGGGGCTTTCTGGGTGGAGTTTGCATGTTCTCTCCGTGCTTGTGTGAGTTTTCTCCGGGTGCTCCGGTTTCCTCCCACAGACCAAAAACATGCATGTTAGGCTGATTGGTAACTCTAAATTGTCTCTAGGTGTGAGTGAGAGAGTAAATGGTTGTTTGTTTCGTTTGTCTCTATGTGTCCCTGTGATGGACTGGAGACCTGTCCAGGGTGTCCCCCACCTCCGCTGGATATTGGCACCTGTGACCCCCATAACTCAAAAAATGAAGCAGGTAAAGATGATGGATGGATGGAATTTGAAGTTTGGTGTGCGTGTTGTTCAGCCCCCTGGGTCAGTGGAATTAGTCTGTGGTGGTTTGTTTTTAGCAACTTTTCAGAAACAGGGATTGAAGTTTTTGCCCATCCTTCTTTGTAAACCAGCTGCAGCTCAGTCAGTCTGGGTGGAGAGCCTCCATGAACAGCAGTTCCAAGCAGGGCTTAATTTGTAAACCGATCTCTGCTGAAGGAAAGCACCCCCACAGCATGATGCTGCCACCACCATGTTTCACAGAGGGTGGAGTAGTGTTAGTTTTATCTGAGCAGAGCTTCTTTGTCCACAGGTTAGCTGTGTCCACTATATGACGTGTCAAACTGCAAACTGGATTTTTCTGACTTTCAACTAAAGCTGTCTTCTTGTCCCTCTTCCATGAAGGACAGATCGGTGGGGGGACAACTAACAGTTGTCCTATAGACAGACTGTCCCACCTGAGCTGTGGATCTACAGCTCCTCCAGAGTGACCATGGAGCCTCTCTGCACGGCCCTCAGATTAGATGGATCTAGGTCAGTTCACAGCTGGACCGTAGTCTTTCATTGAATAACGATGGACTGAAACGTGCTCCATGAGATGTTCAAAGCTGCTAACCCTGCTTTAAACTTCTCAACAACTTTATCCCTGACCTGTCAGGTGTATTCCTTGGTCTTCATGATGCTGTTTGATCACTAATGTGCCTCTGAGGCCTTCACAGAACATCTTGGAGTGTCAAAATAACAGAGGATGAATAACTACATAACTAAATAAATACACCACTTTTCAGATATTTGTTTGAAAACAATAAAAAAGTTATAATTTTCCTTCACAGTTATGTGACACTTTATGTTGGTCCACCCAATCTTTCCCACTTCATGGTCCACAGTTTCTATAACCTCTACTCTTCTTTCGCTTTCATTCTCTTCATTGATTAGCTCCTCAAAAGTACTCCCTTCCATCTTCCCATCTTGCTCTCCTCACTTGTTAGAACATTACCATTCCTCTTTAACAAGCCTAACCTGCTGCACATACTTTCCAGCCTGATCCCTCGGTTTCGCCAATCAGTAAAAGTCCTCACCCTCTTTAGTGTCCAGCCTCCCATACAACTCATCATATGCCTTCTGCTTTGCCTCCCTCTTTGCTCTACATTTCATCCGCATAAATTCCCAGTAAAACACCTCAGATGATTTCATTTTGAATGTGACAAATTATGGAATAGTTCCACTGTAAATAACTGTGGGGCACTGTATACTGTATGTCTTAGTGTGATTTCCTGTCTTGCTCACCTGTAACTACACTGTTATGCTCTCCGATCTTCTCCCCAGCCTTCTTAGGAGCTCTCTCTTTTTCCACATCCAGATCTTTCCTCTCCTCTTTGGAATGACGAAGACTGAACACCAGACGATGCAGCTGAAGGCAGATACAACAAGCTTTCTTTATTTGTGCCTCCATGTTTGGACGTGGCAGCACTATAATTTATTCCAGATTATAATCGGTCGACCGTTTTCTGTTCTGGAGTCTCAAATCTCATTAAATCACTTACATACTGGTCGTCGATGGGCTCAGTGCTGAAGCTGACCAGCAGCACCAGCACTGAGGTGCAGAAGAACAGTATGATGGCGAAGTGCAAGTAATGGACCCCGCACACCAGGAACGGGCACCGAGAGGGGAAAATACAGCTGCCGGTCCCAAACCAAAACTCGGGCAACATCCGACACAGACCCATCACCAGACCACCGATCAGGCCCCAGAAAGCACCCTGGAGGAGAGAGGACATTAAATTATCACTTTAAATCATCCGAACCCAATTTAACAGTTCTCTTAAAGATTTAACAAGAAGAAGAAGAATCATAACTCTGGAGCGAGAATCAACCCTTTACAATCTGAAGGAAGACTTGGAATCTAACTTTAAAACAGGAATCTTGAACGGGACCTGTTGCACACGCAGCAATGTGGACAGTTTAGAAAACTTTGATAAGGATTAACTTTGGAATTTAGGTCAGAAAAATGTTACAAATTCTGCCAGATTATCAGGAAGAAGTATCAGATTAGAAATGTAACGTTTTGTTTATCATCGTAAAATGTCATAGCCAGACTGACATTTGTTTTCTCACCATGAGGCGGGGGGGGGGGGGGGGGGGTCTTGAAGTGCCTTGATGTGACCCTGAGAGTGAACTAAGGATCATTTGAGGTCAACAGCTTGTCTGAGGGTCACCTAAGAGGGTTAAGGGGATGACCTCAGAATGACCTCAGAATGACCTCATAGGACGGAGTTGGAGGGTGATGTGGCATCTAGCAGACATATTTCTTAAAGTTACAAGTTTTTCTTTAACTTTTGTTTATTTTACTTTCACTCTCTGCTGGACTTTAAAGTGTACATTTTGTCTAGCTTTATTTTTAAATGTAGGTTAACTAAACTATAAAGAGGGAGACCATCACAGAGACGAACAAAATGAACTGAATAACGATGAGCGAAGCCAAGGCTTCTCTCCTGTTGTTATAAAAACTTGGTCAGACACTCAGATCCCTGATGAGGTCAGCAACAAGGACAGTTTACCTCTTCCTGTTCAAAAGAGATTCTGTTGACAGATTCACAGACAATCTCCTGTAATAAGTTTATTAATCCATTTCACTAATGTCTTATAAGGTAAATGTGCACAGAATCATCAACATTCTTTTTCCACATTTTGAAAGATTTCTCAATTAAGTGAAAAGATTGAATCTTTATAAATCATCAGTCTCACAAGAATGAATAAATGATCATTCTCTACTTGATTAACTGTTTACACAGTTCAAACAGAACAAAATGTGACTTTAGGTCAGAAACCATGGAGAGAGGGATTTTAAGATAAAAGAAGCAAAATGCTCAACGTAAGAAATGTCTAGTTAAAAGTGGCAAAACACCAGCTAAAATATAAAAGCAGCAAAGGGCTCACTGAAAACTAAATGTAGTGAAATGCTAAATAAAAGCAGCCTAAAGTTAACTAAACATAGTTAAAGTCTAGCTAAAAGTCCAATTAAGTATTAAATCAGTATACTTTCTAGTACACTACAAGTATGGGTGTAGTATACTTGATATACTTATACTTAACTTAAAGTATACTTGGGAAAATTAACTTAAAATATACTACTTTTTATTAAGGGGTAGCAAAATGCTTGCGAAAAACTTTTAAAGGGTAGCTAAAAGCATCAAACGGCTAGCTAAAGGTTGCAAAAATGCTAGTTAAAAACAAAAAATGGCAAATAGCTACTTAAAGCTAAAAGATGCAAAATGCTGAAAGTAAGCAAAGTCTAGTTGAATGTAGCAAAACACCAGCAAAAATCTAAACAAAGCAAAGGGCTAACTGAAAACTAAATGTAGCAAAATACAAGGTAAAGCGACCAAAATTACCCAAAATAGCTAAATGCTAATAGCTAAGGGCTTGCTTAAAGCTTTCTAGCTAAAAGTATCAAAAGGCTAACTTCAAGTAGCAAAAAGGTTAGCTACAATCAAAAAATTGTAAATAGTTAATTAAATGCTAAAAATAGTAAAAGGCTAGTTAAAATTCAATTCTGTTTATTTCTATAGCGCCAAATCACAACAAAGTTGTCTCAGGGCAAGTTACAGGAACATTCACATAAATAAAAGCCAATTAGTAACGTTCTTTATCTAAGGAATCCAGCAAACAAGTTGAATGTTCACTTCGGTCCAGTCTCCCATCCTGAGCAAGCACAGTGGCACCAGTGGAAAGAAAAAAAACTCCCTTTAAACCCCCTTAAAAACTAAAAGTTGCATAAGTCTGACTAAATTTAAATGCTTCTCTTTGGGAATTTTAATGTTTGGCATTAATCCAGTCAGGTGTTGTGATAATTTACATGCTGATTCTTCACTGCGTGTATGTTCATTGATACATTCGAACAAATGGTGGCGAAAGCATTTACTCCAATAAAACATTGGGCGTCAGTTAATTCAGCGGTTGTGAAATGGTGAACATGCAGGTGGAAGCTTTCTCACCATTTCATTGACCCTCTTGACAAACACAGCTAGCAGAAAGACGGAGGCAATAGGGGGAGACAGATAGCAGGAGACCGACTGGATGTAATCGAACAGCTGACCGCTCTGAGCCGCCTGAACCACTGGGATCCAGCAGATACTGATGGCCACGATGCACAGAACCCAGACTCTGAGGGGCAAAACCTTCACAAATGAGAAATCCTCCTTCGTACACATAACAACTGCAGCAAAGTGGTGACTTTCATCTTAGTTTGTGGCATTTTGTGCTCCAGGAACAGAGTTTAATATTTGTGTGGAGCAGAAGTTTTTAGGACAGTTGATGCAGATGATGACCTGTTTACCTGCCTACGATGATGAGCTCGCGCTCAGAAGCCTGCGCTCTGAAGCGGGTCCAGATGTCCATGGTGAATAAAGTGCTGCTGCTGTTAAAGATGGAGGCCAAAGAGGACATGAGAGCAGCTAACATCACAGCCAGCATCAGGCCTCGCAAACCTGGACACAGAAGAAGAAAGCGGTCCAGACATGTGAGGTTAAACAGCTTTTATATATCTGGAAAGGTTTTAGATCTCACCATTCGGCATGACTGTAACCACCAGTTTAGGGTAAGCTATGTTAGAACAGCCCACTTCAGTGCCACAAATCCTCTTGCAGTCCTCAGGAACCACACAGCCAACCTCATCTGTAAGTGGATGAAAACATACAACATAGAACAGTGCCATCTGACATTTGTGTCGTTTGCCCTAACCTCCACCTTTCTTTGGCTTATTTCTACCCATGTTTTTGATCGGACACACCTGGATAGAGGACCCTGCTGATCATTCCGGGGAACACCATGAGGAACATTGGGAGCAGTTTGAGGTAGCCACACACGATGCAGCCAGCTTTCACATGGGTGAGACTACGAGCTGCAAGGCACCGCTGCACAATCACCTGGAGAAATGCACAAAGAAGGCAATCACTGACCACTTTAGGACACTTGGGTCATTTGTAAACATGATCAATACATGTTACAAACAAACGAGTGGTACGCTGACGTCCCTCGTCGCTGAGGGATATGAATAGTGAACGTTTGCAGCTTTGAAGATCAATGTTTTACTGGACTGAAACTAAACAGGGAATGCAAGTACTTTAATAGTTTTGGTGCAAAATATTCAAGTGGGTACATAATGGACAGCACGGTGGCTCAGTTGGTAGAGCTGTCGCCTCGCAGCGAGAAGGTCGCTGGTTCAAATCCCGGTCTGGGGGCCTTTCTGGGTGGAGTTTGAATGTTCTCTCCGTGCATGTGTGGATTTTCTCCAGGTACTCCAGTTTCCTCCCACAGATCAAAAACATGCATGTTAGGCTGATTGGTAACTTTAAATTGTCTCCAGGTGTGAGTGAGAGAGTGAATGGTTGTTTGTCTCTATGTGTCCCTGTGATGGACTGGAGACCTGTGCAGTCTGTCCCCTGCCTCTTGCACAGTGACTGCTGGATATGGGCACCAGTGACCCCCGTGACCCAAGCAGGAAGAAGCGGGTAAAAATGATAGATGGGTGAATGGAAAGTGACATCATGTTTACCTGGTCTGAGCACCAGTACCAGATTCCCCCGATCGTCATCCCAAACACGACCCCAGGCCAGGGAAGGTCCCCGGTGGTTGGGTCCCTTAGCAGGCTGAAGGCATCCTGCCTGGGGGTGTAGCACTGGGGGGAGATGTTGTAGCGCTGGGGGTCCAGGGAGGAGAAATTACTTGGTATAGAAGAGGCATATTTGGCAAGCAGTGCATTGTAGCCTCCAACTTGAACAAAGGCTGGAAGAGAAGCGAACAAGAGTTAATATTATCTGATGGGTCTGCGTAGATACGCTGGTGAAGATTCTCAGTCATCCACGAACATGGTAAATTCAAAAACGTTCAAGAGAAAAACAACTGGACTTTATTTGTAACAGAAGATGTTTTGCTTCTCATGTGAGAAACTTAACAAACCCCTACTGTGAGGTGTGATATGTCAATCTGCATATGTATGTGCATCTTATCTCAGCTTCAAAACCTGAACCCCACACACTCTGCTCTTTGAATTGAGAAAGCTTCTCGGATGAGAAGCGAAACGTCTTCTGTTACAAATAAAGTCCAGCTGTTTTTGTATTGAACGTTTTTGAGTCTGCGTAGATACACAAAAGAAAAGGCAGATATACGATTGTTTTGTTAAATAGTAAGGTCATTTGTGTTGTTGTTTCAGCTGAACTTAGAGAGTTTTGTGCTTCTGCAGTGTCAGCAAATGGTTTGCCTCGAAAAACAAATTAATGATTAGAGACATTAGTTGAACTGTTTCCTGATTACGTAACTCTGTCTTGAATGGAGTGACAGAAGCCAGAAGTTGTACTGCGTGTTACACGAAAGCCAAGACAAAGGTTTGTACTTACAGAAGCCCGAAAGGACAAAAGCCCCAGCAATGATGACAAAAGTCTGAAATGTGTCTGTATACATCAGAGCAGCGAGGCCACCTGGTAACACACAGGTGAACAAGTAAAACCACAGCAATCTGTAATATTTCATTTAGTTTGAGGTTGAGGACGAAGTAAATATGGTTGTTGCTTTGAGGATTGGACGTCAAACTAAAGCAGAAATACTTTTAATCTTAATTCTTTCTGATGCAGTTAAAAACAAAAACAGGAATTTATGGTAAAAAGCTGGGGTTGCCAGAATTTCACCATAAAAAGCAACTTAATGAAGGGCAATTTAATTTATGAAGAAAGACACGAGTACACAGTCAGTACATGTATTAGAAATGTATGAAACTAAATGAATAAATAAGAATTCTAAAAATCTTGAAGAGTACTGAAGCAAAAACACAAATTAGGACAAAAGATAATAAATGGAAATTAGTCAGACAACTACATTGACTTTAATGAACATAAAACTATTGACACATGAGGTAAAAGAAATAAAATTTGATTCCAATGCAACAAACACTGTAATAAGACAATTAAATGTCATGCATCAAATCAGAACTTTTGCAGAAGACTCGAGGGATCTGGGGTCTTGTAAGCTAATTTGATAAATGGGAAGAAGACAATAAATGATGTTAAAGTCAATAAAGGATCTTTTAAATCAACTCTAGGCACAGTTCAGAGACACAACACAGACCCTGTAAGTCAAGTGTGAGTCCTTTCGTTTGTTTTTTGTCAACTATGCAGTCATTGAACAATTTTAATTTTAAAAACATAGTTTCCTCAAAAGATTAAGGTGGCTGGTTGACATACAGTATATAGGATGGTGGCCATCTTGGATTTTGATGTGGCAACCCAGTTTTTAACAGGGACTTTGTTATGTGTAGCTGCTGCTGCCACACACCGAAACAGAAGTTGATGCCTCAATAATTTTTCATGTTCTCATGCTCACGATACAGACGGACGAAGGGACGGAGGGTATTTCCAGTTCCCCCTTTTCGCTTTGTGACAGGCAACAACTAAAATGTCTAAGATGTCATGATAGCTTTGTCTGCCACCTTGACAGACATGCCATCATATAACTACCTGTGTGTGTGTGTGTGTGTGTAAGTTTTCATTTGTCTCGTTAGCAAAATATCTTATTAACCTCTGGAAAGATCCATGAAACTCAAAGTAAACATTGGATGTTCTTCTACATTAATGCAAGATGGCTGGCACTGCTTTGGAATAAAATGGCACTAACTCCGTCAAGTTTTGGCATGTAAGGTATTATTTAATGAAAGAAAGGTAATTCTTGCACAATCAGTTTTACATTTTAAATTAGTTGTTTTTACACCCTAGCCAGAATAACCCTGGTAACGTGACTGAGATATAATCAGAAGTTAGTTTTTATTGTTTTAGCTCTGCCCACATACCTGTAACAGTGTACAGAGCTGTTATTAACAGAAGAGCGATGACGGACACGTAGATGTTCCAGCCTAACGCCTGCTGGATGAACACAGCTCCTGAAAACATGTCCACCTGAATTCAAACACAGACGATCAAAAATAAGTGTGGCTGCTGATATTTCTTGAAAAAGCTTAAACTGGGTTGTTAAAGTTAAAATAACCAGAACAAAGGCTAAAATGAGCAAAACAACAGCTAAAAGTTATTAGTAAAACGACAACTATAAGCTAAATTGTCAAAACAAGCCTCAAAACTAAGATGTGCAAAACAATATCTAAAGTCAAAATTTGCAAGACAAAAATTAAAGAGTAAAATTAGTTAAATAAAAGCAAAAACAATCAAAACAATATTCAACAGCTAAAACCAGCAAAACAGTCGCTACAAACAAAAGTTAGCTAAAAACAAAACATGAGCTAAAGACTAACATTAGCAACAAAAAAAATGCTTAAAGCTAAAAAAAATAAAATAGGCAACAAAAAAAATCTAAAACTGGCAGAACAACAGCTAAAAACTACATTTGAAGCAAGTACATTGATTAAACTTCACGTTTTTTAATGATTTGAACAGTTTTCCATTAATTTCAACACCAAAAAAAGTAAATAACGTGAAATATTGCATACAGTATAAAAGTTACTAAAACCAAAGGTCATAGCAGTAATGTCCTGAACAAGCAGAAAGTCTTGATACACAATTAGTTAAAACAGCTGAAATACACTTTAGTATCACTGAATACAGTCCAAAAGACATCCTTAAGAACTCTAAACATAAGAACAATAATGAAAGCACGTTCAGGCTGACTCACTGAGATCTTGGTGAAAATGTACAGGAACAAAGAGATGACCGACAAGTAGAGGCTGATTCTGGTCCCACCGAACCTCTTCTTCAGGTACTGTGGCATCGTGATCACCTACATGTGACATTAAATGTTACTTTTCTGAATGGTCGTAGTAAACTAACATGATGGCACATGAAGACCCTCTTACCCCAGCTGTGAGGTACACAGGTACAAAGAGCCAGCCCAGCAGCAACACAATGAACAGAGCCTGTAAGAACACATGATACCTTTAAATCATCGCCCAGTCACTTAAATGTCTCTCTGAATTCCTCTCTCTGTTTTTGGCCATTTACAACCAGCATTGATTAAGTATCGTACAAAGTGTGTGTTGAGCTACGGTGCAAAGGAACATAATGAAACAGACTCGTACATTCCACTCAAACCCTCCTACGGCGATGCCAGCAGCCGCTCCTGTTCCTGCCAAACCCACGAAGTGACCACTGCCGATATTGCTGGCAAACAGAGACGCACCAACCTGTAAACAACAACAGAAACACTCATGAAGTCCTCTCAACTCCCAGCTGTGAGGATACAGTTTAGGGAGTACAGGTTCCTCTTGTAAATGAGTCCTCGTGGCTCATTGAGGCTAGCCTGTATAAATAAAGTTTGAATGAATGAAAAGGACTGAGTTACTTTTTTTTTCTGTGATCCTTGCTTTGTGAGTTTTCATCCTCTTGTTTATTAGTTCTCCCGTGTTTTTCCCTTGAGATTATTCTGCTCCTGCTCTGTCCACTCTCACTTGATTCCTGATGTCCCTTCACAGGTATTTGCTGTGTAGCCATTACTATATATGCTTATCAACTTGTGTTCCCCAGAGGTGCTGTACTGTTTGTTCACAGTCTGGTTTGGTTGCCCTTGTATTCTCTGTATTTGATTCCTACGTTTATTAAGTACTCCGCTGCCTCGTCCGCTTTTCCTTTTATTTATTAAAGATCTATTTTAAGTTACTCCTGAGTTCCTCGAGTAATCTTTCTGCTCTTTGGATCCAGTTTCCACCTCCAACCATGACACCAACCAGTTGAGGCAAATGGATGCCCATTATACTTTGGGTTCTGCTGGCGATCTCTTCCTGGTATTTTTTCTGTTGACCTCTCTAACATTACATTATCTATGTCATCATCTATTGCCAATATTGATCTTTTTATCAAAATGTCTTTTATGAACAATACACGTTTAGATGTTTATTTTTTTTTAATGGTCCATAGATCTCATTGCTCAGGGGCCTCAGTAACCAGGAGCAGAAATCCCATTGGAGAAAACTACTTTTAAGAAATAAAATAAAAAAACAGAAAGCACATCCACTATTTATATAGTAAAAACAATGCATTTATGCCTTTGACCCCACCCCACCCTACCCCATGAACCTAACAAGGGTTTGGTCCATTGTACCCCTGACTTTTCCAGAACATTAGAGACGTGATATATGGATCTTTGAAAGAAACCAGATCTTGAAGATCTGTTTGCATCAAAGAGCCATTAAGTTGTGAACAGCAGTGAGTTCATCTCATATGGATTAGAACTGGTAAATTCAGTTCACTTCATAAATCCGGGCTAATCTGAATCACTCATTAAAGGACAGTAACCTGTTTCAATTCACTACGCTGCATGTGATGGAACAAAATATTAAGATGTCTAAATGAAATAAAAAATCAATCAAAATGTTTACTGTGTACATACTGTACTCATTTGCCATGGACATTCGCAGTAAGACGTTTTGTGTCCCGTTTTCTCTGCCAGTAGTTTGAGTAATTTGTTTACTTGCAGAATCTTCTGTTTTTCTGGGTTTTTCTATATTTTGCACAGTTCCACATTCTAGTACACAAACACTCTCAATACAGTTGTTTGTCTACTGTTGGACTGTGCTTGAGACATGTTTTGTCTTTTAACACTTGTGTGTTTTTTAATCAATGTATTGGGATCTGCTAGCTCTTGCTAGCATTAGCAGCATGCCTGGTTCACCCCCGGCTCAGATGTGCGGCTATTCCTCCGCCTCCTTTAGCGATAATGGTACATGTATTAAATGTAAATCTTTTGGTAGCTTTGGAGGCAAGGCTCTCTGAATTGGAAGCTCGGCTCTGCGCTGTTGAAAAACCATTAGCTAGCCAGATCCCCTTAGACAGCAAAAAGCAACTGAGTAAGCTCCCATTAGCGGTCCTCCAGCAGACCCCGAACAGGCAGGACGCCAGGCTGGCTGGGTGACGGTCCAGAATGAGCATAGTGCTAAGGCTAAGCCCCCAGTTCACCACTGACTCATTCATGTTTCCAATTTCCTCACTTGGTGACACATCCGCAGAGAAGTAGACCATTGGCAGTTCCAAAGTCAAAAACGTGGCTTTTTCAGTGACTATAGTTAAATAGTGGGAAACAATGAATCTTATCTGAAACTGCTGACTAAGGCTACAGTAAATACAGTAAAATTGTTATTCACGTTAGTGGTAATGACACCCATTTACTCCAATCAATGGTCACTAAAATTAATGTTGCTTCATCCATCCATCCATCCATTTTCTTCCGCTTATCCAGGGTCGGGTCACAAGGGTAGCAGCTTAAGTAGTTGCCCAGACTTTCCTCTCCCCAGCCACTTGGGCCAGCTCCTCCGGGGAAATCCCAAGGCGTTCCCAGGCCAGCCGAGAAACATAGTCCCTCCAGCGTGTCCTGGGTCTTCCTCTGGGTCTCCTCCCGGTGGGACGTGCCCGTAACACCCCACCAGGGAGGTGTCCATGAGGCATCCTAAACAGATGCTCGATCCACCTCAACTGGCTCCTCTCGATGTGGAGAAGCAGCGGCTCTACTCTGAGTCTCTCCTGGATGATTGAGCTTCTCACCCTATTTCTAAGGGAGAGCCCAGACACCCTGCGGAGAAAACTCATTTCGGCCGCTTGTATCCGAGATCTTGTTCTTTCGATCACAACCCAAAGCTCATGACCATAGATGAGGGTAGGAACGTAGATCGATCGGTAAATTGAGAGCTTCGCCTTTTGACTCAGCTCTCTCTTCACCACGACAGACCGGTTCATCACCTGCTTTACTGCAGACGCTGCACCTATCCGCCTATCGATCTCACGCTCCATTTTTCCCTCATTCGTGAACAAGACCCCGAGATACTTGAACTCCTCCACTTGGGGCAGGACCTCCTCCCCGACCCGGAGAGGGCACTCTACCCTTTTCCGACTCAAGACCATGGCCTCGGATTTGGAGGAACCGATCCTCATCCCAGCCTCATCACACTCAGCTACGAACCGCTCCAGCGAAAGCTGTGGATGTTGCTTAAGTATGTATCTTATTTAAAATTGTTGGACTCTTAAGTTCTCTGGTCCCCTCCCCAACCTGACCAGCGATGACACGTTTTAGTTGTATGTCGTTGTTCAATCGCTGGCTGTCCAGGTGCTACATTTCTTGGTTTTCTATTTCTAATAAATTTGCAAATATCTAAAAAAAAAAAAACACATTCTCATGAGGTATTGGTGTGTAGAATTTTTAAGAAAGAGATTAATTTAATATGATTTGGAATAAGGCTGTAACAAAGCAAAATGCGGAAAAAGTGAAGCGCTGCGAATACTTTCTGGTTGCACGATATACAATGCACCTGAGTCTGCAGCATTTATGTTTCTTTATTAACCCGGAGCATCACCCTGATTCCTCTAAATGAACAGCATTTCCGGTGGGTTATGGACCCCGATCAGGGGCCTGGCTCCGCAGCATTTTTGGTAATTCTGCTGATGCTAGGAAAAAAAAAGAAGAGGCTCACCCAATGACCACAGAGAGGTGAAGATTCAACCAGCTTTACTCGCATGCAAGGAGCTTAAACACAGACACCGAATCATTAAGCTTTCACAGAATGACCAGTACAGTGTTTATAGTTGAACTCAGCCCTGTCTTTATTTATAGTGCTATGCATACACAAGAACATTCTGTTATCCTGTCTAAATGACTACTGACCAGTTGCTCTCCCTCCACTGGTGATGAAGTGTTTGAAAAAGTTGGTCAGGAGTCACATCACTTCACTCCTCCCACAAATCTTGACCCCCCACCAATTTGCTTACAGAGCTAAAGATCAACTGAGGATGCCTTAAGCACGGCCCTCCATGTTTCTATGTCCCACCTGGAGAAAAAAAAGAGCTATGTGCGGATGCTCTTTGCAGACCATAGCTCTGCTTTCAACACCATCATCCCCAACAAACTGGTGGACAAAATGGGAGAACTGGAACTTCCACAATCCGCCTGAACATGCTGCTGTTCGACGTAATGTTCTTATGCTATTAGCGCTTAGTGTATTTTTAGTTGACGTTTTTCTTAGTTCATATCTTAGATCTTATTACTGTTTTTCTTGTACATTTTATTGTTGGATGTAGCTGGGACCCTGTGCACATAATTTCGCTCCACCACATGTACCACATGTGATGCGAATGAGAATAAAGAATCTCTGACTCTGAACGTGGGTAAACAGTTTCTTGTCTGACCATTGTCAGAGGGTTTGAGTGGGCCATCACATTCATGGCCCTCAGCCTCAATGCGGGAGCTCCTCAGGGCTGTATGCTGAGCCCCCTGCTCTATGCTTCTACACACATGCACCCCTGCTCCCCACTGCAACACCATAGACAAATTTTCAGACGACACTACAGTGGTGGGGCTCATCAGTGTATGTGTGTATGGGGGGGGGGGGGGGGGTCCGCCTACAGGGACAAGATAGAACTGCTAGATAGACTGCTTGGTGCAGGGGGAATAATCTGCTCCTCATCACCTCAAAGACTAAGGGGATGATTATAGACTTCAGGAAAAAGAAGATGGTGGTCCACCACGATTATAAGCGGTTACAGTGTAGAGAGTGTTTTATTTTGCCACTATTTAGCTGACTATCGTTTTCTGGGAGTTCATACTGAAAGTAATCTGACCTGGGCGTGACACCTCTGAGTTACTGAAAAAGGTCCAGCAGAGACTGTACTTCCTGAGAGTGAAGAGGAACAACATCACCCAGAGACTGCTGGTGTTTTTTCTAATGATGTTCCACAGAGAGCATCTAACACACTGCATCACTGTGTGGTATCTTAGCTGCACAGTGTCTCAGAGGAAAGTGCTCCAGAAAGTTATCGACACAGCTCAGGAGATCGTGGGCTGCCCTCTTGTCTTACTGGAAGATCTATACAGTTCCCGCTGCAAAGGAAAAGACCACAACATCTTAAAAGACACGTCTCACCCTGGACATGATCTGTTTGAACTGTTACCATCAAGGATAAGGTACAGATCAATCAAGACAAGTCGGGAAGGGAAGCCTGAGATATTCATCATTGTATGTTCCCATAAAATGGTGAAATTAGTTTTCTGCATTTAACCCATCACATGCACCCACATGTGCATCAGATGCGCCCAGGTACAGCAGTGGACAGCTATGTAAGCCCCCGGGGAGCAATTAGGGATTAGGTGTCAGAGAGTGAGAGATGATTAAAAGATAATAGAGGACATTGTTCAAGTCATTTCTGTCTAACCAACAGTAGTTCCAACAGTAGCATGTTGTTTATGCTGTTATTTAAAAAAAAAAGTAATACAGACTAAAGTAATCTAGTCTTTGAGAGATGGATTAACGGATTAGGGCCTCGGCCTGCGTTCAGGAAGCATCAGATTCCACAACTGACACCTTTTAATGTGAAGCAGCAGCTGTACTCGAGCGCCCTCAGGATGATGGAGCTCCTCACCCCATCTGGCTGAGCCTGGCCACTCTACGGAGGAAGCCTATTTCGACCACTGGTATCCAAGATCTCGTTCTTTCGGTCCTAATATTAAAATAATATTAGGTTTTTAGTTTGCTTTTGTTTTATTGTAGCTCTTTTAGCATCATATTTGCTAACTTAAGCTTTTAGCTACCGTTTTGCCATTTTAGCTTCTATCTAGAACTTTGTTGACTTTCCCTCTCAAGTACAGATGTGCTCATTTCAGCTTTTAGCTATATTTTTGCTAGCTTTAGCTTTTAGTTATGGTTTTGCTTATGAACTCTTTAGCTACAGTTTTGCCAACATTATTTTTAGCTACTGATTTGCCATTTTTTTATTTTTAGTATTTAGATTTTGCTTATGTAGATATTAGCTAGTTTAGCAAATTTTAGCTACTATTTTGCTATTTTAGTTTTGTTTTGCTTGTTTTAACAGTTCAGTTCCTGCTTTAACAAATTCCATCTATGTCGATTAGCTCAAATAGTTCATTCTGTATTTTGGTAGAAAAAGCACATTTCTGTAGGGATTTTTAAAAAGGCTGAAATTTTGTTTGGGCTTTGTAGTAAACAGCTGACGTATGTTGGATTTTCAGACACAAGATGTAATGACACCCGTTAACATGTCTTCAGATTGGTTTTAGATGGATTGTTCTCCACGGTGAACTTACTGCCCACCAGGCCATGGAGCGTCCTGCCAGGAAATATCCTCCCACCGTCCCACGGTTGGTCCGAAACATGGACTGTAGAGCACATATCCAAATCTTAGATGCAGTTCTTTCACAAACATCTTGAAATGACTTCCCAGTAACTGGGACACTGTGTTTTGGATCACTTACCCAAACTCCAACGGTAATGACCATGAGGAAATATCCAACAATGACCGTGATGTCTGCTGGGTTGTTGATGGTCGCCCTGTTTGATGAAAGGCTCTCCATTTTTCCACTCAGAAACCGGACCAACTCTGTTTAACCTGAATACTTGTTTGGTCTGATCTGCAGAGCTTGGTGTGTTCCCACACCGTTTCATACGAACGTGAAGTTAAAACTGGGCAGGAGAGTTGACTGGCCAGTTTACCGGGGACTTCGGTCAGCTGTGACAATAGGCAGATTCAGCACTTTTTTTATTGGACTAATTATTAACGACAAACCATGAAAAACAACATTCCACTTCGATAGTTTACAGATTAATACTCTTGTTTTTTTGTCTATACTTTTATTTTTTGTATATTGCCTGTAAAAGTGAAAAGTGTGATTTTTTTTTAATATCACAAAGAAAAATACCCATTACATTTGAGAAAAACTGATGTTTAATCTCATTTGTCCAATCTGAACATTATGAAAAATAATTTTCACCACCTGAAATAATAATAATAATTAAAAAAATAAGATTCTGTAAGTTATAATAAGGATTCAACATCAGTTCAGCATGAAGACCAAGGAACTTTTCACACTGGTCAGAAACAAAGTTGTGGAGAAAATCAACATTGGGTTGTATAAATATATAAATAAATCCCAAACTATGAACAGCCTACTGAGTACCAATAAATTACAATAATTTTTAGGAATTAAAAAAAATATACTAACACAACAACAAACCTGTCAGGAGAGCTCTGGCTGACAAAACTCACATACATAAAAAAATGAAGCCCAAAAGAAAACCCTGATGGAGCCGGAGCTCTTCTACAGAGATGGGGTTATCTGCCCATAAGAGCAGCACATTTAACCCTCCTGCAGTCCGTGGGTCAAAATGAGGCACCAGGTGTCATTTTAACAACAGGTCATAGCTGAAGTACTGTAGATAAATTATATAAAAGACAAAAGCAAAACAATGAAATTTATTTAAATGTACCATTAACATCAAAACAAAAATTGGGGCAGCTGTGGCTGAGTGGTTAGAGCGGTCGACATCCAATGGGAGAGTTTGAGGTTCGATTCCACCAGCAGTCACTCGCTGAAGTGTCTCTGGGCAAGACAATGGACCCCTCATCGCCTCCTTGAGTCCCATTAGTGTATATAATCTAAAAGCACTGATTATTCTCTATAGAAGGATTTGTTCATTTAGCTTTAGTAGAGATCTGTATGAATCTAAAAAATTAATATAAAATTGTTCTGTATGAATGTGTGTGTGGAAGTAAATGAGGGCACAGATTGCAGTGCAAGTACCTTGGGTATCTTGATTAGATAGAAAAGTGCTACCGTATATAAGTATAGTCCAGTTACCATCAACTCAGTGAGAACAAATGTTTAAAAAATATTTAAAACAGGAAGTGAAAAAGAGGCTGCACGGTGGTGGATCAGTTTGTAGAGCAGTTGCCTCTCAGCAAGAAGGTCGCCAGTTCAAATCCGAGCACAGGGCCTTTCTGGGTGGAGTTTGCATGTTCTACCCGTGCATGCGTGGGTTCTCTCCGGGTACACCAGTTTCCTCCTACTAGGCCTGTCACAATACCAAATTTTGCTGGGCGATTGTCTCCGAAATTATTGCGATAAATGAGAATATTGTTTGAAATTTGACAATAATTAATAATTATTGTCAAATTTAAGAAGAAATGTTGTGAATTTTTGTGTGTAGTACCTTTTTTGACCACCGGATGGCAGAATAAGGCTGTTTGAACTGAAGGATGGATAGTGAGGCAGTGAGCAGCGTGTCTCTTTAAGAAAAATGGGAGGGAGGCCCCTTGACGTG